TTTGCAGGTGGTTTTTTGTTTTATTTTATTTTTTCATATAAATACCCCCATCTTTGACTAAAATCGCAGATGAACGAAGTTCATCTGCGATTTCATCTCATCCCACCTGCGATTTTGCATTTTTATTTATTTTTTTTATTATTATGGCTACAAAATTGATAGGGTTTGACTACAAAACAACCAAATTATATATAAAGTTTTGCAAAAAAAATTATCACTTTAGTTGTTATTTCTTTGGAAAAAAATTTAAAATCTCTCTAATAAAATAAATTCTCCAACAAAAGGTTTGAAAAATACTTGACAAATGAAATCTCCCATACCACTTCCAAAGAGAGAAAGTTCATCTACAAAAAGTTTGAAAAATGAAAGAAAAAAATTACGTTTTTATACCCCTGAAAAATGGGAAATCACATGTGAACAAGTAACGGTTTTGGTGGCTATTTTTGTAGTTTGAATTTTTTTTTGTCTTTTTTCCACAAAGTAATTAAAAGATTAGGTTATTTTTGTAATTTTCTCTATTTATAATTTTTATCAACCAAATGGTCTGTAGCCTAACAGTATTAAGTGTATTGAAAAAGTGTATCTCCCACGAGTGGTTGAGGACACAAATAAAAAATATACAATTAGGAGTGAAGTGTGTTTGTATGTGTATTCAAAAAAGTATTTTATATATATATATATATATATATATATATATATATATATATATATACATATAATATATATATATTATATATATGACAATCTACCATAGAAAACAGCCTTTTACGATGCTCATTGCGCGTCGTAAAACGTTCAAACGACGCGTAAATGCGCGTCAAGGAAGGCCCTGTCATAAAGAGAGACGACGCGCATTTACGACGCGCATTTATGATGCGTATTTACGATACGCATTTGTGACGCGCAATGTGTATCAAGGAAGGCCCTGTCATAATGGAAGACAACACGCATTTGCGTGTCGTAACCTTACGACGCGCGTGTTTATGACATGCATTGCGTATCAAGGAAGCACCTGTCAAGAAATGCCACGTCATAAATGAACATGACACACATTTTGCGTATCATAATTTGATATGTTTAAAAAAATATTATCTATAGATTTATTAATTTTCAAATTAAATTTTTCATTTAATGTCTCTTAATAAATAAAATATCATATACAAAAATACAATCCTTTGCACAAAATATAATGTCATAAAAAATAATCGTTCCATGGAAAGATAAAACAAATCAATAAAAGTTGTAACGGAAATTTACAAACTAATTAGATACAAGAAATATGAAAAACTTGAAATCTCTAAGATTAATAATTCTAACAGAAGCTTCACATGAGATACATATAGTTGGACTAGTAAGCAAGGATGTTCTCGAATCCACAATAGCAGCAGAAGAACACGTACACGATATCTTTTGCAAGAAGGTGCCGGTCCAAAACTACTGTTGAAGGTTGCCATGATAGCTGTTAAGATTTAAGCATAACAAGAAACCAATCAGTGACTATAATAAGCTAGAAAACAAGCAACTAATAAACAAAATAAGCAACTAATTAAGTCAAACTATGACTATGTATTGTTCATACAAGAAAAAGAAGGAAAAAAATGTTGATTTATTGTTGTTCATACAACATTCTCCAGACAACACTTAATTGAAGAAAAGAATGAGGCTAAACTTACAAAGAAAAAGAATTCAGGAAGAAGACAAGTTTGAAAGCATACAAAATAACATTTAGCCAAGCAAGTGTGATCTACCTGTAAAGTTGAAAACGCAAAATTCTAAGTAAATGACCTAAATACCCTCAGAATCGTAAATCATAATAACAAGTAACAGACCTTGTAAGAGGCAATGCAGAGGTCTGGCCAGATGGGTTTACCTGGAAAAAATGTTGGAGCACCAATGAAATTCTGATCACATGGATCCCAATGACCACCATCTTATCATTCAACCAAGCTAAGAGAATATATATATATATATATATATATATATATATATATATATATATATACACATATATATATATATATATATATATATTAAAAATTAATTGAAAAACTTGTTGTGTTTCTGTTTCATCATGTATTCAAATAGCATGAACGGTTGTACCTCTCAATCAGGTGAAAAGCTCAAAACAGAAATTGTTGTATTCCCATGCATATAATATTAACCAACAACTATAACACATGCATATAGTATTACAATATTATATATATATATATATATATATATATATATATATATATATTAAATTAATTGAAAACTTGTTGTGTTTCTGTTTCATCATGTATTAAAATAGCATGAACGGTTGTACCTCTCCATCAGGTGAAAAGCTCAACAAAAATTGTTGTATTCCCATGCATATAATATTAACCAACAACTATAACACGTGCATATAGTATTACAAATTACAACATTACCCCTTTCAAAAGTGAATGTGCTTCACTTGACAAGAATCCTAGAAGCTTTATCTTGTCCTTCATTGTTTTCTCCAGAATCTTCTATCTGTTTCCACCTCTAAACGAAGGCTGCAAAGAGACAATGTCGAACAAAATTACATTATTACCCTCACGCTAAAAGTAAGGGGAATTTAATAGTGATTTATTAAAAGTAATTAAGAGTCACAGCACACCAACCTTTCCAGTAAGCATTTCATACATTAAAATTCCAACACTCCACCAATCAGCGGCATTATCATGGCCCCTTCCTTGTACAATTTCAGGTGTCATATATTCTAATGTCCTACACATGGAATTTAACCTTGTGCTTTCATCAAATTGCTTTGCTACCCCAAAGTCAGTCAACATAACCTGAATAATAATAATTCAATAGAGTTAAACCAAAACATTTTACCACAATAATAAACACCATCGTTTTAATGACAATTGCCAACCTGGATGGTTAATACAAGTGCAGGGTCAACAGTCATTACTTCATGGTTAATTTTGTTTAATGTCTCACCCGATGCCTCCCATGTTGAGGAGTTTGCTTTCACTTGACTGCTAGGAACAACAGGGGGAAGAACACGAATAATCTTCAACATAATTCAATGCTTGGTTGTATCATGCTAAACAGTAGTAGAACAGTAACTTGTAGAAGACAATGTAAAAGAAGCAATTGCAGAAAAAACATTGATCTGATAGTGTGTAATTAGATTAAAGATTATAAGAAGATAATAAAGTAAACCTTGAGTTGCTGGATTTGGGATCTTAGTTGACTTCTTTCAATGTTGGTCAACGAACATGAAAGCACCGGTTTTTTAACTCCACATGCTCTCCCCAATTCTTCTTTTGAAGGAACAAAAATATTAGAAACATACCTTATATTTAGTAAGGAATGGAATATGGGAAATCATTTCAAAATCTTCGGTGTCTGCAGCCATCACTACAAATTTACAAAACCCCTATTCAGGTCCCTTGTAACTGTTTAAAAAAAAAAAAAAAAAAAATAGAAGTTAGAACCAACATTAAGAACAAAATATCAAAAACAAATATCAAAACAAGTCAGAATAATATTCACGAAGTTGATAAACTTTGGTTAAGAAAAAGAACAAGAAACATAGCCAATTTAGTTAGCTTTAGCCAAGAAACAAAATACTCATAAATGTATAATTTTTAGCATATAATAGTTGATACTCCTAAGTCCTATCAAGTATCAATTAGGTTAAAAATTCCCAAATCCATGTATCTCTTAATTTCATCGTCAAAACGAAGATATCCATGTGATTAGAATAACTAATTAGGTCACAATATTTGAGCACCGATAAATTCATCCTTCCCAGCAGGAAGTCTAGAGAATTAATAAGTTTAGTTCGAATACAATTAGTTTCCATAATTACATTTTCTTATATGTGCCCTAGGGCACATATTAGAAAATCCCTTAATTCCCTTGAATCTAGAAGCCCCATAATGCCCTTGAAAGTTGTTAGGGGTCTCACCTTCTCAGTTCAAAATGTTACATGACTGACACTGGAGCAATCTTGGAGAACACCAAACTATGGTGACTAATACCAGCAATACAAAGAGATTCTAAAAACTTTATGTGAGCTTCAAGAGATGAATCCCTAAGATAACATATATCAATAAAATGGTTAATTTAACTTTGACTGAAATCCAGGTATCATGTTTATCTAATAATGAGATGATCATAAGTAACTAATTAGAATTTGTTTCTTTTTTACTTAATGGACTTAGTGGGGACAAGACTTTATTTGGTTAGGTATATATGCATGTTTCTTTTTTACTTAATTTAGAAAGAGGGATCTAATAGGGAAAGTAAGGGAAATTAGGATTTCCCTATTAAGTCCAAATTTTTTTTTAAATTATGCCCTCGTATATTTTTTACTTCCATTTCTACAAGTATGCCATCATTTTTTCTGTCCAACATTAGGCATTGAAACAAACCTGAATAATATCAAGCATTATGCAACTCTGGGAAAAGATAAAAACTTTAAGGCCTTCCGGAATAAGATTACCCTGTAATTGAATAAAAAAATCACATTCTACATTTGTACCTGATGTTATGAAACACACATTCAACTGATTAAGATTTTCACTGATGTTATGAAAAATCTACATTTGTACCTGATGTTATGAAAAATCACATTGTACATTTGGATGACCTAGAAGCAAAAGTTTTCACTTTATGCAGAACCATGAACTATATAACAGTGTATGGCATGACCAAGAGAAACTTTATGCTGCAAATCCTTCAAGGATGGTTGGCAACAATCATCTTTCATCTCATTATCAAACCAACTTCCAGCAGCAGCAGCTGGCAAGGAGCTCATTGATTTCTTCTAATAATGGGCATTAGAGTGAAGGTGAGAATGGAAATAATGATATGAGACTACTGTGACCAGGGGTATGATTGTCATTTTCTAAAACAACATACCATTTTCTATTTTCACCTAGAATTAATTTTCACAAAATAAAAAAAAAACATCTAAGGTTTTCTCAAGTATCAACTATAAAAAATAAAAACCAATTTCCACTAATCTCGATTGATGTTACTACTATTCAGAAAAATAAAATCAAAAATTAGAAGAGAAAGAATGATGGTAAGCTTTCATTAGAAATTGAACAATTGTATTCAAACATTTCAACAAACATCTAACAAGCATGTTAAAGAATCATGTTTTGATAGTCAAATTGATTCACAACTCCATTGTTAATAGATTTAGTTTTCATATGGAAAATAGATCAACAATTGATAATAGAACAACAATGAAGAACCATAAGGTCCCAATTCAACAATCGATATTATCAAATACACTCACAATCAAGTACAGCATCAAGAAAAATCTTACCATACTAGTTACCAATTCGAATATAAAACTGATCTGGAACATCGAATTGGAAGCGATTGGGACAAAATTAGCGATCAATACGAACTGAAAAAGAAATTTAGCGAATCACTTTGTTCTTCCATTTCTATCGAGGCGATGCTTAGGGCAAAACCAGAATAATCGAATTCTACAAACATGAATATTACCGGAATAGGCTCGATTTCAAAATCGATATTATGGCTCGCTTTTAAAATCGATTTCATTAATTTTATATAAGAAGGGTACAGATGATCTAATTTTATATAAGAACTCTAGAACTGATACGTACCTTTCTCTTTGATAATTTCTTTTAAGATGACTATTGTTTAGGGCTATCAACAACAACGTCATCTCCGCTACCATAGTGTAATAAAGAAAGCACCATTGAAGGCCCTTCATCATCTTCCACTGCCATTACTTCCTTGAGTGAAAATTTCGAACTCGACGGGAGAGGAAATGAGTCGCCAATAAGAAATCTGAAATCATAAAATCAGATGGGAAGAAATCTGTGAAAAGAGTTTAAGTCGTTTGAGATACCGATGTAAATCCTTAGAAATCTCAATCGAGAAAAGAATGGAGAGTCGCTTATTTTTTTGGCGCTGAATCGTTTCACCACCGGTCGATCACCACGAAAACAGGAGAAGTGGAAGCTTAAAATAAAATAAAACCCTACACATATTTGTACTCTTCAATCGTCGGATCTAGGGCAGAAGTAGATGGGCGATAGGAAGTAGAGCAGATGTGAAAATAACCACCAATCGCTAGTTGGCTCTGGAATCGTTAGCTTGTGAAAATTTTGTGAGGTAGTGGATGTGGGTGAGAGGTGGAGACGATGTAGGGTAGATATGAGAGTCATATGGAAATGAATGTAGGAGAAGAAGGCGGGTGTTTAAAAATTTTGGGGATTTCATTTTCCCTCTTAGAGACGCGCGTTTCTTAAAAAAAATATAAAACGACATTCACAGAGGACGCACGAGTGCCCTCCATGTTTTTAATTTTTTTTTCATGAGACACTATTTAAGGGCACGCAATAATGCGTGACCTAAATCCTTAAATTTTTTGAATAGACGACACTCTTTTAATGTCACTCTCCTTTGCGTAACATAAATCACTGAGTGTCGTGGTTTGCACGTCGTAAAAGGGTCTTTTTCTTATATATATATATATATATATAATTGAAAAAAAATCTAAAAAAATACAAATCATAAAATCGAGCATAGTAATCTATCCGGGAGAAAAAAAATTGGAAAAAATAATTGCATCATTAAAATTGAATCATGGATCATAAAAATAATCCATGCTTTAAATTTAATGATCCAAATAAAATTTTCCAAATTTTTTTTCTCTCCGATATAGTACTATGCACGATTTTATGATATATATATATTTTTTAGATTTTTTTTAAATTTTTTTAAGGTGTCCTCACGAGTCCTCACTTTAAAAAAATTTCCTCACCCAAATATATATATATATATATATATATATATATATATATATATATATATATATATATATATATATATATATATATATATATATATATATATATATATATATGTTCAAATAAGAACAATTCTAAATTTGAGAACAAATTTAGACTATTAAACACGAGCTGCTTTCTTTTTTCTTTCTATTCATCGACACAACACCCCTAGCGATACAAGTTAGTCAGAGACCTTCCAGCATTGCAGATACATTCAAACAGTTCTCCTCCAGATGCATATTCCGTTACAATCGCAGGATGTGTTGGTGTGAAAATCACTTATAGATTAGGTGAAATCAACCTCATAATTAAGAACGTAGTTTAAGATGTTATTATAGAACAATATGAACAATTACAAAACTCTTTGAATATAACGATATTGTGATGCCATAGTTGTTTGTAGTTAATGATTTCCCTCTGTACATTTTTTTCAATCTGTTGAACACAAGAGTTAGAACTTCAATAAGCTTTGTTTATCAATTACGCTTTACCGTTGCTTCAACTACAAATCACAAGATTCGATTTCAAACTATTCATTAAATCAAAAGAGGAAAAGGGAAGAACAAAGGAACATAAATCTATCGAAGATTGATACTCGATTTTTAACACTGACCTTCTCACCTCTCTCGATCTAATTGATAGCAACAAGCTTGTTAGTATTTTATCCTTCATCAACCTTGCCACCCCAAAATTACTAGAGCCAAGGTCTCTTACTAACTCGTAGCGATCGCTATCGTGCAACCCCTAAATCATCTGTTATCGCTTAATCTGTATCAGAGTATAAAGATCGATTGAACCATATATGTCTATTACTTGATGAAATGGTTCAATTTTGTTCGAATTAAGGATAAAACTATAATGAACTGGTTTGATTTATTCAGATTGCGGAAATTAATGTTAGAGTTTTTTTTTTATTTTTCTTAACTGATTATTGTTGTTATTGTTGCTTCATTACTCCTTCATTTGGGGTAATTAACTTCTATCTTGTTTAATCGAATATCATATACATTGTGACAACTTATAGATTTTTTATGAACACCAAGTGTTCTATGAATTGCCTCAAGGAAAAAGTAGCAATTTATGTGAAAATCCTTAACTTTGAACCCTCATTAGGCCAAGCATTAAGGCCCATAGGTTAAATTGAATTTCACATCTTAATAGTCTAATAAGTAATAAAAAATCATATAAAAATTGAAAAACTTAAGGCTTAACCATTAAGTCCTTGATAGAACAC